GGAGGAGGAGGATGCAACGCATAAGTGCCGAGGATTAGAGGTGTTACTAGGGAGTAACATACACAAGAAAAAAGGAAAAAAGATAAGGACGATAGACGTTGAAGAAGAAGAAGCAAACCACAGCAGTGAACCCACTAGCCACTCACAGGAAACAACAGAACTGAAACGACAAGGTCTTGCCAAAGCTTAGGCACTAAGGCCGCGTGTCCACTGGTTCAGAAACAACTTGAATTTCTGGTCGGGAGGAGGAAAATAGGTCTGTTCGTTTCCGTCGTCCGTGTCCACTAGTTGGGAAACGACACGACTAGTTTGTCGGCTTTCTGGCCTACTTCTTTCCCGGATACCATTTTTTCTATTCTCTACTCCCGTGTGAACACCTTTCTGAGGACACAGTGGACACGTATGCCTGACCAGCAGCAGTCAAAAGACAATCTTGTAGGCCATTTCGAACCCTCATAGACATCAGAACCACGAGTTTGCATATTTAATAGAAAATGCTTTTTCTTGCTTGCCTTTTTAAGTTTCAGCTAAAGGGGAGGAGCGACCCTTGATTTTGCAGATTTTGGGTCAGGCTATGTACATTTTATGTCGGCTGATTTTTGAAGATCAACCAGTTTTTTGTCTAAAAATAGCATGGATACAATTAAGAAAGACTTTATGCTCCAGGTATATTGCCTTTAAAAAGGAGGATGGATTCATTTAGTGAATTTTCGCAATTATTGTCGGTTTTCGCAAAATGTAATTTCCGTGCAGTTTTTCCCCTACTCCTTCCTTAGTTTTCATCCTTTTTACATGAAACCTTCAGGAAACATAGTTGGCAAGGCTGCCATCAATATAACAGAGAAAATTTTCCATTGGCAGGCGATTACGAAACATAATTTTAGAAAAAGTGTTTTTATACTTTGGAAAAATACTCATTTTTCTTTTTCTTTAGTACCTATTGAAAAAAAACTTGCTGTTACTCTGATAGGGTCTGGTTCAGGTATACTCTCACCAAATTTGGCCAAATTTGGTCTGTAAATAAGAAAGCCTCATGGATTTGAAATTCGTTGTTTATTTTCAAGATGGCGGCCGTTTCCATAGCAACAGCTGTAGCTATGGTAAAATTTAATTGCGTTTTAAGAAATTTTACTATGTTTAACTTGTACATATTATTATGTACTTAGATTTGATCTTAAGCAACAAACATAGAAAATGGTCCTCAAAGGTAGCCCCTCCGGAAAAAGAATGGACCAATCTGCATGAACAACGAAAATGTGTCCTAAAACAACGTGCCTTCAAGCTTTGTAGAATGCCGAGATTGTGCGTCGTCAATAAGTTCATAAATCCACGTGTGAATTGATCAAGGAACAAAGCTGTATTAATGGAAACTACCTTTTTTCACCTAGACACACAGGGAAAAAAATGCACACACACACACACAAAACACAGACACAGACACAGACACACACACACACACACACACACACACACACACACACACACACACACACA